TGGACAGGGCGGGCACCTGTGCCTTCAGGGGGCGGGGCCGGGCACCTGTACATACAGGGGGCGGGGCCGGGCACCTGTGCCTCCAGGGGGGAGCGTGGGTCTGCGCACTCACTCACTCACTCACTCATCCCTGAGCCACTGCTGAGCTGTGTGCCAGGTGCCCGTGCCGTCTCCCCACGCCCCTGACCCCGCTGCCAGCATCTCCCAGCATCTCAGCTCCCAGGGGCAGAGCCCCCACCAGGCTGGCGCACAGCAGGTGCTGAGTCACATGCACACTGTGCCCACGCAGCGGCACTCGGGAGACCTTGCCCCAGCAGCACAGGCACGTGTGCTTTAAACAGGACGCAATGGGGGCGAACCGGGAGGCTCCTGGTCCTTGCGAGGTTGTTCCTTTCTGAGCTCCTGCCGCACCTCCCTGGCCAGGGGCCGAGGCTCCCGGGTGAGGGGCTGCGGCTGAGGGGCTGTGGCAGGGTGGGGGTGCAGAGGAGCGGGAGGGCAAGGGCAGGCTCCTTGCAACCTGGGTCACTGAGGCTGTGTGAGCGGCAGCGAGGGGGGCCGTGCCCACCAGGAGGGGCGTTCAGGCAGCAGGACACAGGCGCCAAGGCCCAGAGGTGCACAGATTTCGGGGCTGCGAGCAATTGGGTGCAGCCGGGCTGCAGGCAGGGGCTAGTCCATCATTCACTCAGCGGTATTTGTTGAGCACCTACTGTGCGCCAGGTACTGTGCCAGGCCCCAGACGCAGCAGAGAAGCCGACAGCCTTAGTCCTCTGGTGGGAGAGGTGGGCAGACGTGTGCCATCAGGGGTGCGAAGGGGACAGAGGGAAAGTAGTGGGGTGAAGGGGCAGGTGTGCGAGCCCCGTGAGGCCAGAGCGGAGGATGCATGGGCCAGGCGTGGCGTGGATTCAGGGCCGCTCTGACTGTGCCCAGCTCCTCAGCAGTCCTGCCGGCTCCAAGCCTTCACTGACAGCCTCCCCAGGGGACACGGCTGGAATGATCATCCTCCCCCAGTGGGAGACAAGGACCCCAAAATGCACAGGACCCGTCACTCCTGGGGTGTGAGAGGGACGAGGCCTAATGCACTCATTTGGCAGCTCGAGGGCCCCAGGGTGGCCGGGACGTGCTGTGAGGTCCCCGCTGGTGGGACGGCCACCTGCCCCGCTGGAGCGCTGTGGGTCTCACAGGCCTGCATCCCCGCAGGTGGCCCAGAACGCGGCCCTGTACACGGGGGACCCCAACCTGGGGCTGGAGCTGTTCGAGGCGGCCGGAGACATCTTCTTCAATGGGGCCTGGGAGCGGGAGAAAGCTGTGTCCTTCTACAGGGTGAGGCCCGGGCAGGGCAGGGGGCCTCAGTGGGCGTCCCTGGGCGGGCGGAGGCGCAGGCACAGCGGGAGCGGCCTCCCAGGAGGCGGGATCACCCTCTGCATCTTCTGGGATAGTCATGACCCCACCCCCACCCCAACCTAGAGGGACAGAGAAGGAACGCACTGTCCGAGGGTCACAGGCAGCTCCCAGCTCGCAGCACGCATCCCTGTCATCTCCAACAACCCAGAGTGCATCTGTGCCCATTTTACAGATGAGGAAACTGAGGCTCACAGAGCACAGGGGTGTGCCACAGGACACGGCATATCAGTGGGAGGATCGGGCCCAGGGCCCAGGCTTCTCCCCTCCGGTCTGCCCAGCTCCTGGTGTGTGGCCCAGCCGCGGGTTCAGGTGGACGTGGCATTTGCAGAGCCCAGAGGGGTGTTGGATGCTCCTGGTCAGGCCCTCGGGGCCCAGGAGGGGAGGGTTGGGCTGAGGTTATGCCGCGTAGACAGATGGGCTGCAGGCCACACCCCAGCTGCTCACGGCCAGTGGCCTGGGGTGTCAGGGCCTCTGGGAGCTGGCCTTTCTCTCAGGGGACAGAGCTGTGTAAGGACCCGGGGCAGTGGGCGGGCAGCTCCCAGGGCGGGGGCGGGGGCACTGAGAAGGGTCCTGGGTGTGGGCAGGCGAAGGCGGGAGGAGGCCTGACCCACTTGCTGCTCGGCAGGACCGGGCGCTGCCCCTGGCCGTGACCACAGGGAAGCAGGAGGCGGAGGCCACACCCCAGCTGCTCACGGCCAGTGGCCTGGGGTGTCAGGGCCTCTGGGAGCTGGCCTTTCTCTCAGGGGACAGAGCTGCGTAAGGACCCCGGGGCAGTGGGCGGGCAGCTCCCAGGGCGGGGTTGGGGGCACTGAGAAGGGTCCTGGGGGTGGGCAGGCGGAGGCGGGAGGAAGCCTGACCCACTTACCTGCTCGGGCAGGACCGGGCGCTGCCCCTGGCCGTGACCACAGGGAAGCAGGAGGCGGAGCTTCGGCTGTGCAACAAGCTGGTGGCGCTGCTGGCGGAGCTGGGCCTGCAGCAGGAGGGCCTGGAGTTCGCCCACATGGCCCTGGCTCTCAGCATCACCCTGGGTGAGCCCCGCACCCCTCGCCCAGGCCTCCTGCCTCGGTCCCTCGCCACCCAGGAGGCCAGCTATCCCGGATGCTCCGGCTTCTCACCGGTCCCTGGCGGTGCCCGCCGCATGCGGCCCCTTCCCTGCACTCGGCTAGCCCCGCTGCCCTCGGCTCCTGGAACCTCAGGCCCCTTTCCAGGCTCTGGTCCCTCGGTGCCGGGCATCCCTGTGTCCGGTCACCTAACTGAGCTGTCCGAGGCCTCGGTCTCCGCCAAGATGGAAGCCCCGAGAGGGCCAGGTGCACAGTGGGTGTGAAACGGGGTTCCCGTGCTGGCCCCACAGCGCCCCCCTGGGGGAGGGACCCGGGCACAGCCTGGTCTGATGACACCCTTGGGATGGGACGGGGCCACTGCCGATACCCAGGAGGGTCAGAGGTCATGTCTGAGGTTGCCCGGAGTCCGGGGTCTGCGAGTGCAGCCTGCCTGACCTTTGGGGTCTCCTAGTCAAAATAGCAACCCAGGCACCCCAGGCGGCTACGTCAGGCTCGGACGGGGGCCTCCAAACCCCCTGCTTGGCCACATCCCCAAGGCGGGCTGGGAACAGGCGCCATTGGGCCCACTTCACAGATGGGAAGAGTGAGTCTCCGGATGGGAGGTGACGGGCGGGAGCTCTGAGGCGGCTCTGACCGCCCCACACAGTGTGTCCTCACACGCGGCCCTCCCGGTGTGTGGGAGACCGTCTGAATGAGCGCGTGGCCTACCACCGGCTGGCCACCCTGCACCAGCGGCTGGGCCACGGCGAGCTGGCCGAGCACTTCTACCTCAAGGCGCTCTCGCTCTGCAGCTCGCCGCTCGAGTTCGACGAGGAGACGCTGTACTACGTGAAGGTGTACCTGGTGCTGGGCGACATCACCTTCTATGACCTGAAGGACCCCTTCGACGCGGCCGGGTACTACCAGCTGGCACTGTCCCAGGGAGTCCAGGCCCTGGAAGCTCCCAGCCCGGCCGTGAGGAGCAGGTGGGGCTCAGCAGACGCCTCAGCCAGGAGGTCAGCCACGCCCTTCAGAGCTCGGGGTCAGTGGAGGCTGCTGACGTGTGAACAGATGACAGCGGCCTTTGCTTTGCGTAAAGGACCAGATGGAGTACAGTCAGGGGGGCCTCCTGGAGGAGGTGACTGTGAGGCTGAGTCTAGAGAGTCAAGCAGGAGCTCAGGATGGCCACAGAAATGTGGGAGGGGAAAAGGGTCTTTGAGGAGCAAAGGAGGGGCTCACCGCTACCCCATGATGCAAGATGCTTCTTCCAGGAAGCCTGCCAGTCTGTGCAGAGCTCCCCCTGGTCTCTGGGGACCCTTGAGCCCTCATGTCCCTGCAAATGTCCCATCTCCCGGCCAGGACCCCTTCGACGCGGCCGGGTACTACCAGCTGGCGCTGGCGGCGGCCGTGGACCTGGGCAACAAAAAGGCCCAGATGAAGATCTACACACGCCTGGCCACCATCTACCACAACTTCCTGCTGGACCGCGTCCTGGCGGGCGTTTTCCGGGGAACAAAGGAGGCAGCCAAGCGGCAATAAATGTTCTGCAGGCACCTCCTCAAGTCTACAGGCCCCTCCCTGCGGCCTCCTGGGGAGGGCCCAGGGCCTGGCCCCGTCCTGGGGGCCACCTGCAGCTGCACCCCATCCTCGTGCCTAAGTGGGTCGTCTGTGAGCCCAGCAGACCCAGGCGGGTCCCCTGCCAGCCACTCATGGCGGCGTGGCCTTGGGCAAGTTCCTCCCCGGCTCCCCTCCCGGAGCCCCCACTGTGTGTCCGCACGGTGCTCCGCCTTGAATCTTAAGCCTCCCGTGAGGTCGGACTGCGATGCTCCCCTTTGACAGCTGAAGAAATAGAGGACCAGAGAGGCTAGGAGCTTTGCCCGCTGCCACACAGCAGATACGGAGGGAGGGCCATGTGGGGTCCGCTGCTGGGCCGCCCACCCCTGCCTTGCCCACCTGCTCCCCCCGCAGACCGCCAGGGCAGGAACCCAGGCATCCCCTTGAAATCCTCTCCCCGACTCACAGGCAGGGAACCAAGGCTCAGAGAGGGGTGCCAGGAGCTTCTCGCCACACGGCTCTATTCCGGCCCCTCTTCTTTCTTGAACTTATTTTGTTAACGAGGTGAAATTCACATAATATAAATGTAACGATTCCAAGTGGCCTGTAAGTGGGTTTTTGTCGTTCACGATGCTGTGCAGCCACCGCCTCTGTCTCTCACCATCCGCCCGAGGAAGCCCGTACCCCTGGACCCCTCTCCCAGGCCCCTCATTGAACAAAAGGGGAACCCGAGGCCTGGGGAGGGACTCGCCGGGGGGCAGAGCACGAGCCTGGGCATGGTAATGCGTGCAGGATGGTGGCAGAGCAGGAGGCCCCAGGGCAGGAGGGAAGAGCCACCAGGCTTCCTTCCTCGGCTCCTGGAGCCCAGGACCTGCCCCCAGGCCTCTCCCACCAGGGGGCAGCAGAGCGCTTTCCAGAACCCAGGCCAGGGTGAGGGCATGGGGCCCAGCAGAGCTGTTGACAAACCTTCTAGGCTTGACCTCTATCTGCCTTCTTGGGGCTGGTTTGAAAGCGGGGAGGAGGCCGCACAGTAATTGAAACCAGGAAGCCCTGGGCAGCGCCCGTCACAGTTGCACGGGTCTCTGAGTCCGGCCGCCAGGCAGCGCCAGGCCGGGCCTGCAGCCACTGGGAGCACTGGCGTGGGGCCCAGGCCGTCCGCAATCAGCCTGCCTCGGACCACGGGGCCTCGGAAGCTGGGCCCCACTGTCCTTCCGCAGATTTTCGTCCCCCTGCCACGGGGGCACCGGCCGACAGGGACCCACGGCTCTCGGCAGCAGACCTGGAGGTCCAGAGGGAGGCTCGGTCCTGCTCCCCCTGGGCTCAGACTCAAGCCCCCACCTCCAGGCTGTGGGGTTTGTGGGAAGAGCTTATTTCTCTGAGTCCCAGTTGGTTACGACACAAGCGGATAAACCCTGTATCAGGGTGAAGCGAGGGTTTGAACAGCCAACCCAGCTGGGCTCCGGACGGCCTGCGACCTGTTTCCTATTAACGAAGCAGTTACTCTAGGACGAGCGCCAGCACCACGGGCTCCAGACACCGAACCAAAGCGCCAGTCACTGGCCAAGCACTTCCCCACTTAGACCCTCAGTCTCTTCTTCATCTGCAACCAGAGACAACCACTCCTCCAGGTTCTGAGGATGAAGAGACCATGTGCCGGGCGCCGAGTGGGTGTGCGGAACGGGGCTGCCGGCCTCTGCTGTGGCCGAGGTGAGGAGCAGGCCGGG